GGGAGAGTGGAGTCTTCCCTGTGGGAACTAGGGATCATTTTGGAAAGGGGAAATTAGTTGAAGAGGAGAGTGGCCTAGAGGAGAAGAGAGAATTGTTTATTTAATTTTGCTTAGGGCCAACCTTGTTCTTGAAAAGTTGCTAAAATGGTTTAAATAAAACTGCAGTCTGTCCTGGCCATTGTAGCTTAGTGGTAGAGCATCGACCCATGCATCCACAGTCTAGGTTTCGATTCCAGTCAAGGGCACACGCCTAGATTGTGGATTCCATCTCAGGGCATGTATGGGAGACAACCAATCGATGTGTCTCTCTCACATTGGTGTTTATCTTTCTCTTCCTCCTTCCCTCTCTCCATTCCACTCTCTCTAAAAATCAATGGGAAAAATATCCTCCTGTGAGGATTAACAAAAACCACAACAAATTAAATAAAACTGCAGCCAAGCCATAATTGTTTGACCCAATTTGCCTAAAAAATATTAAGATTATAAGGCCCTAATACATTTTATGTAAAATGTTTACTGACACTAACATAGAAGAAAAAATATTTTGATATATAATATGTTTACATATATATTTCCCTTTTTGTTTGAAGTTAAAGCTGACAATGGAATTCACGACTCTCTTGGGGTGCTAATTTCTAAGCGGCAACTGTTTATATGATGTGGGGTGCCTGTGCCAAATCATTGCACATTTACAGCCCTGCTGATGGGGTTTCCCCCTAGAGAGGACATAGTTCATTGGAGCTTTAATGCAGACACCAGCACAGGCAGGTAAAATGTTTTTATAATTGCCACTAGGAAGAAGAGAGGGCCCAAGGGTTCTTTTTCTGCCCAAGAGAGCTCCTCCCTTGTTAGAACTTAATTTGTTGTGTGTATGTGGACCAGATGGGTGGAATTAAACTTCTAAGGTGTTGTGGTTAGATTGTTTTAAAATGTCTGGAGACTCCAGGAAATGTGAGAAATCACATTTCTTTTTCAAAGGACCATCCTTTTGTGGTTCAAATGTGGGCTTTTGAAACTGAAACTATAACGCCCGTGGCTATTGGGTGGGGGTCTGTTTTCCTTTTCCTCCTATTGGGGTGTATATGAATTTCTTGACTTATTTAATGTTGGTGTTTTGGTAAACATGGCTCTAAGGTAGCGAGAGAAGGGACTAGAAGCTACTTAGTCTTGAGGGAAGTCCTTGCCTTCTACATATTGTCTACCCTGAAGAACTGGCCTCCCCAGTCTTCCTGCTACAGTCCTTCAGAGCATTCATATATCTGCCTGCCTGTAGTGTTGTAGAAGTAAGCTGCAGAAAAATATCTCAGGAGGCTGCTTGTGTGCGTGTGTGTGTGTGTGTGTGTGTGTGTGGTGTGAAAGAGAACAAAATATTGATCTAAAATGAACTCTGAAACTGAAGAAATATAAACTGTGTGTGATATTGTTCCCTGAAGAAGTTAGCCCAAATGCAGTTTCTTTTCCATTGTAGGTACTGAATTATCTTGAAACCAAATGTGCCCCAGTGGTAAAGGAAGTTAAAAAGATAAGCCCCCTCATTCTCCCTGGGGAAAGAAAAAAACACATATCTACATTTGGAACACAATGTATTGCTCTTTTTTTTTTTCTCTTAGCTTTAAGAAAAGTCTAATGAGGTTGGAGCCAGTCAAGAAAATAGCTGAAATAATCAAAATTAGGGCTTCTATGTCCCTTCCATCAGGACCTACTTACATGGCAAATTCTGCAGCCTAAACAGTAGGATTATGTTATGGGTGAATTGTGTCTCCCCCACCCCCACCCCCTAAAATTTATATATTGAAGCCCTGACCCTCAGTATCTCAGAATGTGACTACATTTGGAAATAGGATCTTGATAAAAGGCACATAATTAAGTACTAGGGGGTCATCAGAGTGGGCCTTTATCCAATGTGACTGGTGTTCTTATAAAAAGAGATTAGAACACAAAGGGGGAGACGACACCAGGCACATGCACACACAGAGATGATCATGTGAATGACACAGGGAGATGATCACCTACAAGCCAATGAGAGAGGCCTCAGAAGAAACCGCCCTGCCAATACCTTGATCTCAGACTTGTAGCCTTCAGAACTGAGAGAAAACAAACTTCTGTTGTTTACGTCACCCAGCCCATGCTCTTTTGTTATGGTAGCCCTAGCAAACTAAGATATGGACAGATGGGCACAGATATGGACAAATGATAAAGAATTACGAAGGGTCTAGAAAAGGAAGTGATTATCTCAAGATACCCTCAGGTCAGGGTTTCTTAAAGCAGCGTCTGTACACTACCTGTATCAGAAACACCTATGATGCTTTTTATAAAGCAGGTCCCCAGGCCCCTCTGGACCTAGAGTTTTAAAATGAGGCCCAAGAATCTTTCTTTTCCATAAGACACCCCAAGTGATTTTTTTTTTGCACACTACAGTGTGAGTGAGACCCACTGTACAAGGTCCTGCCCAGCTTCTGGCTCTTTCCTGGGCCTACCTGTCTGGTACCAATAACCATCTAAGCAAGTGCTGGTGTGTCTGGCACTCTGGCAGATGCTCTGTGGTCCAGGAACCAGGTATATATTCCACTGTAGATTATATCTCTCCAGGTGTCAGCCAGTGTTTATCAGCATGTGGAGAATGCTGGATAGGATGGACCACATGGAATCCTTAGGGAGTTCACTCTTTGGTTCTTAGAAGAAATATATGCCCCACCTCTCTTTTTAAGTAATGATCTACAGTACATATTTCTATCATGAACTTTATTTAAAGAAGATATTACCTCGGCACCTAAATTCTCAGAGGGAATACAGGCCATAGAAAGAGCATATCTAACTTTTGCTATCCATCAGTAGAACTTATATGGAAATTTCTCTGACAGGATCTGTTGCCTTTTTACGCCCTGTATAGTAAATATAATATTAGTGAAATAGAGCAATGACACATACAAATAAATAATAATAAATGGAAAGGCATCTAGTAAATTACTGCAGCCAGGCTCTGTGCTTTCTCGCATTTCTTCATTTCCAAAGGGAATGGGAATGGAAAGTATTCTTTCATATACTAGTAGCATAAGGTGAATTTTCTTTCCCTCATCTGTGAACCAAAGAGAACTGAAGCTACAGAAAGAGAGAAATAGTTGAGAATCCAAAGCAAACACAGTGACATCGCTTCTCGGCCTTTTGGCTAAGATCAAGTGCAAAGCAAACACAGTGACAAATATTTTCAAAGTAGGCAGGATAGGTGACATTTTGATTTAAATATGACAGTTCCCCTAGGAAATTGTAAAATCTGCCCCCTTCCTCATTTACAAATGTGACTGCAGGCTACAACAAGCTTTTGTAAGTTTATTTTTATTTATTTATTTAAAATAGTGTTGTTTTTTTTAAATTGATTTCAGAGAGGGAGAGGGAGAGCTAGACATCAATGATGAGAAACATTGATTGGCTGCCTCTTGCACGCCCCCTATTGGGGATGAGCCCCCCAACCTGCGCACGTGCCCCAAGGGGAAATTGAACCATGACTTCCTGGTTCACAGGTCAACGCTCCACCACTGAGACAGGCTAGTCGGGCCACAGGTTTCTTTTTTAAACTGGAATGTAGACAGGCCATTTGAGAATGTCCAGGTGGGCAGGTCTTTGGGCTGGTTCTCTGTTCTTCTGGTGGTCCCCCCTAGAAACAGGAGGCGGCTGGTGCCCACCTGTCCAGGGGTACCTGTGGCCGGCATTTCTTCTTCACCTAATGGCAGGCCCTGCCGACTAACTGCATGTTCGTGTCTCTGTGTAGCCTACTCATTCCCACTGGACTTCTATTTCTGAGCGGGTGGGGATGGGAGGATGAATGGCAAATGGCAGTTGTGCTTCGGGTGCTTTCCAGAAACAAGAATTCTGGCACTGGAGATAAATTGATTTTAAACTCTAGACCTTAATCGTCCGGAGAGGTTCAGAAGGGAAGCCCCGAGAGCCACCGGGCTTCCCGAGGCAAGAGGGGAGGGAGGACGCGCGCACCCTTCCAGGAGACAGCCTCCGGCGTGGCCGTGACCGCGACCGCTGTCAGAGGCCGAACAATGC